TTTATTCCTCCTAAGTTGCAACCGAGCGGTTTCCTGTGAAGCCCTCCCCTAGTTAAGATAGACTTTTCTTCTGTAAGTAGTTAATGTAAGTGTCGTTCCCGGCCTGTGTTCGGCTTCTCCCTACAATCCAATCGAGATTCCCAACCACCTCAGTTTATTTTGGTCTGTCCTTTTCATCGCGACAAGATCTGTTTTCGAATTTGCTAAAGTCCACAATTTTATTCTACCATTTCCGTTAGAGAGAGAGCGAGTCTCTTCATTTTGTCGGAAAACAGAATACAAAGGCAACTCTTATTTTTGAGGGGTGGGAGGGTCTTGCTGACATTTTTTCAGGTTTTTCGGGCATATCACATTCAACATTTCATTTCATAACATTGACAGAATTTTTATACAAATTGAAATTTTAAGTCATGAGTTATTTTTCAGTAGGGGCACTGTGTGTGTGGGCTATTTTCGGGTATATATACGTATATATATATATATATATATATATATATATATATATTTGTATGCGTGTATACACATATGTATGTATGTATATAGGTATGTATGTATATATACATATATGTACGTATGTATATAGATATATATATATGTATGTATACATATACGTATATATATATGTATGTATACATATATGTATGTGTTTATATATATATATATATATGTATACATATATGTATGTATGCATATATATATATATATATATATATGTATGTATATATATGTATATACATATATATGTATATATATACGTATATATATATATATATATATATATATATATATATACATATATATGTATATATATATATATATATATATATATATATATATATATATTTATATATACACATATATATATATATATATATATATATATATATATATATATATATATATATATATATATATATATATATATATATATATATATATATATATATATATATATATATATATATATATATATATATATATATATATATATATATATATATATATATATATATATATATATATATATATATATATATATATATATATATATATATATATATATATATATATATATATATATATATATATATATATATACGTTTCCTTTTAAATGTTATTTCTTGTGGAAATTCAGTAGACGCTGCATTTATTTATTAGATATATATTTATTTTCGTCTGCTGAACTGAATATTTGAGAATTCTTATCAAAGAAAAACATTCGCTCTCCGGCCGTATTCGAACCAAAGTCCGAAACATGCCTTTAAACGAAATCTTTCTCTTATTAAATTCCTCGAAATTTTTATATCTGCTCAGTTTCGTAAGCAAATAATTTTCTAAGCTACTGGGTTTTTATTTATCAATCCGACAGATTTTCATCCACTAAAAATAACGTTTAAAGTGATAAAAATCTATCTGAGAGATGGAATAAAACCCATATCCTTAAAACCCTAGTCACGATGATTGGTCACATCGTGTTAACGAAATGTGCCGCAAATTCAATTTCCCTCACATTGCTTGGTATGGTTTCTAGTCTCTTTCCAAATATACCTCGCGCTGGGATCTTCTTCACAGGCTGATAACATCAAGAAATCATATTCCTGTCAAATCGTCAGATTCGAGTTTGGTTATAGAGATACGGAATTTCTTTGTTCATGATAGTTTACGATATTTTAGGCCACTGTTTTGTGTTCCAATGCGTCACGTCTTATTTCACTAGGTTGCCGTTTCTTTCTGCGGTAGTCTGGTTGCCATCCAAGGCTGTAAGTCCTGCTATTCAAGAAGACATGAAATTATACCCATCGCAAGTGTATTTGAGCATAAGTGAATATAAAGAACCAGAGTGAAACTCGAACACGCATCTCCGATTTCTCATTCGGAGCCGTTATCACTTACATCCCATCCCCAAATGATTACCATGTGTAAATTATTAAGTTAATTATCCAATTCTATTATAATTGCCCTATATTTTCTTTTCATTTACTTCTTATTAATATGTTATACACAGTTGTTCTACATTATGTTCGACACATATCTCGACAGTGACCGGTTTCCGTAAGATTAAATGAAAAAACAAAAAAAAAACTCCCCGTATGTTTCTTTATGGCATCGATGTCAACATTCAAACGATCCGTGCATCTCGTTCCGGTGTTGCTATTAGTATACAAAATGAGTTTATAACGATCAATAAAACTATCTTTTATTGTTTTATTTCAAAACGTATAATGTTTTCAATTGATTCGACACAATCAAATTAGGGTCTGATTTAATAGTCGCAAAAGGGAATATTTTATTGAATATTCTATATCTCTAAATCGCCGCTACTACCGGTGTAAGTCAATCTAATTATTTTCATAATACTCCTCGGTATAAAGAGCCTCAACTTCAAAGACAAACTTAGGCGAAACTCGTCTCACAATAATTAAGATAAAAACTCAAACAAATTAAAAGGTTACTTTTATTTTCATGTGGGGAAAGATACTTTGCACTTATCGCCTTTGTAATGAAATACAAACGCACCAATATATGCATGTAAAAGAGTCAGTTTAAATATCATCAGAGCAATGTCAGATCGAAATAAACGTCCACCAATATATACATGTACGAGAGTCAGTTTAAACATTATCAGATAATTGTGATGTCGAAACGAAAATGTACCAATATATGCACTTGCAAGAGTCAGTTTAAATTTTATCAAAGCAATGTAATATCGGAATAAAACATACATGAATATATGCATTTCTAAGAGTGGGTTTAAACATTATCAGAGCATTGTGATGTCGAAATAGAAATGCACTAATATAGACATCTACAACAGTTTAAATATCATCTGAGCATTGCGATGTCGAAATAAAGTTGGACCAGCTACACCTCGCAGTAAAATTAGAGATTATGCGTTTCAAGCACGATCAGGGCGGTATTCAAAAGTGATCTCGCTTTACGCTGCGTGCACGCATAGGTAAAAATTTCTACTGGAAGAAAACTGTATTAAGAACGGTTTATACATCATTTCTGGTATTTGTGAGGGAATAATATCTTGTGAGGGAATAATATCTTGTTGAGATCATTTTTACCTTAAAAATAAAACGTAACATCGGAAAACTGTAATTCGTGAAGAAACTATAAAATCATGAATTGCTGAGCATATAGGAATATTGAGAGGATTTCACTGAACTCAGTGGAAGAAAGTAAAAGCAACTGACAAGACACAGGAAAATTCGAGTATTAAAGCAATTTACACACATGCTATTCGTTTTACCAATCATTTGACATTAAAATATATATACGTAAGTCAAAGAAGACTATTGTTGCCTATAATTTTTTTACTCCTTATGTGGTTAGAGCACAATTTTATTAAAATTTACGATTATATTGAATTCACATTCGTATCATGCAAGCTAAATATTAATGCTAGTCTGCAAGAACTTACGGCGTCAAAATAGATATCACTCTTTTAAAAAGGAAATTATAACTGAAATCTTTATACCGCAAAAGCCGAAGAAATCTATTTTAAATATTAAAAGGCTGTTTTATAAATGGCTTCAGTATTTTAACGAACTTTTATGAGTATTAAGCACAAATTAGATTTTTATCAAAAGCTTATATTTAGCTAATTCCCCTAAATGCAAAAATGCCTATCAGTTTTCCTCTAGACATGTCTCATAATTCTTTCGAATAAGAGAAGTATCGTCTGCTAATTATTATATAAGAATGGATAAACATTCATTAAAATTTTGTTGTAAATGTCTTCCGGTAAGAAAATGATAGTATACAATTTACTGTTTTCTTATTAATCAAAACACTTCGCATCAGAAATGCCTTTCATCTAAAATTACATGGACATGTAAAATTGAATATTATTCGTTTGTGCAATATTTTCAAATAGTGGATTAGATTTTCAGAGGGAAATCTATTAGTCTCAATTATTGAAAGATTAAAATTGTTGGTATCTTGGGAGCAGATGATCTTGTGTATTAAAACGTTGCTTAAAACATATCTGACTCCCTGAAAATTATGAGTTCAATTACTAGTTTATCGTATTGTTTCAAAATCACGTACATTGACTCAGTGGAAGAAACGGAAAAGCGACACTGCGATGTATAACACTGATGTTGATGGTAGTTGAAATATTCCTCCTAGAAAAGATTCTGCATTCATTGACTTAAGTCGCCAAAGTCACCTTCTGTTGAAATTTATAAAATCCTTCTCTTATTTTTTTTTCGTGGAAATACGTTTCTCAAGTCCAGTAACTCTTATCGCTCTTTCCAGTTGAGCGTCCTTCCTATCATTTTTTTTTTTTTGAAGAGGTGTAGAACGTCAACATCTTAATTATGTCATTTCTTTTCTCTTCGAGGTACATGTGGTATATATTTTAGTTGTTTGCTGCTGTTGAAAGTACTTAAGAAATGTGGTTTCTGTTATTCTTTATTTGTGATTCTGTACAGCCAGTCCACGAGGTTCGAAGAAAGACGGTCCACGGTAAGAACTACTCTTCATGTGCACGAAGTTATCTTTAATCGTTGATATTAAGAAGCGGTTATATACAGCTGATAGTTTAGACATTTCTGAGCGAGTTTGGTGTCGTGGATGACGGCTACCTGAAATTATTGACTTGAAGAGGCTATTAAAGAACATCTCGAGTTTTTAAATTAATGCTTGAGCATTCTAGCAATTTGCGGTGTTGGGTGAAATTCCCCATAACAAACTACAGCCTATTCTAAGCTCGATTTCCTTATTGATTGATTGATTTTTTTACGGCTTCTCAAGCCATTCAAAGTTATTAAAGACCAAAAATATTTTTTAGATTATAAGAATTTGGGGAGGAGGGAAATAATCGTTTACTGATACAAGTCTTACTAATTAACCCATATCTGGGAGAGAAGTGTCGGATTCATACCTTACCCAAGGGTATTTGAGTGTACGTGAACCCAACGGGAGTTGGAGTTCGATTCTCAGTTTAGCAATCCCAAGTCATTATCAATTACACCCCAGTCCATCCAAGTACGTCGTATTCCCAACTATCACCCATCTAAGTACTGAGTAGGCTCGACGTTGCTTAACTTCGATGATCGTGCGGGAACCGGTGTTTTAACTTGATGTAGCCGTAAACCTTCACTTTCTTTATCCATTATACTTCTTTTTATAACTGATATATATATATATATATATATATATATATATATATATAATGGACTCTCTCGTCGGTTTCGACGTATGAGGATCTGACAGCTTATTGATTCAGTTATGAAAGTCTGTGCGATAATCTTAAGTGGCATTTAAGTCTCGCTAGTGATTTACAAAGGAGTCCACATATGGAGCAAGTGTGAGGATTGTGAGATGAGATCACTGTCAGATTGGCTGACGTTTTAGATCTTGCTCTCGCTTCTTGAAGATGATTCAGACAAGCAGATTGAAAATTGCTGAGTCCACTAAAACACGTTGATCTCCATTCTACCCGCTCCAAAGCTAAGCGCTCAAGGGTGTGATGTGGTATATTGACTGCTGACAAGTTGCTTTTCAGCTTGTCTTTGTATCTTAGCCATGGGTGTCCTACATTCCTGTAGCCCTGATCTAACTGGCTGTACATTAAGATCTTGAGTATCCTGTCATCAGACATTCTCAAGACATGACCAGTCCACCGTAACTGAGACTGTATGATAAATGTCTCGATTCCTCCAATATTACACCTATTAAACAGGTCGACGTTAGATGTCGTATCTTGAAGCTTAACTCCACGGATATATATATATATATATATATATATATATATATATATATATATATATATATATATCACTGTCTCTTAAATATATATTGCAAAACGAGCGAGCATACGTTCCACTTACGATGATAACTTTTATTTTGATTTCACTGAAAATGCTTGGAAATTTTGTTTCTACAGCCATTGAATGACTTTAGGTAATATGAGATACAGTAACAGTACTGCCCTCTCTAAATAATTCTGGCAATTAAAAAATAATAGTAGTTCTCCTTCTATTAACTGGGATATTATAGCAAGAGCCAAATCTTATAATAGTAAAGGAAATAAATGTAACATGCCTTGCTGAATAATCCGAGCTTATTAAACAAAAGAAATGAATTCATAGTTACATGTAGTTATAAAAGAATATTTGCTTAAATACGTTGATAGAGATTAATTTTTTAAATTTTTAACGTAAATTGCGGTTTATTGTTAATGTAAATTACTATTTATTTTGAATATAAATTAACGCGTTTTTGTTAATCTCTCTTTAAGTAAAAAAATTAAAAATCAATCAATTACTGTTCACAACTCAAAATATTTTTTTAATTTCTCAATTTGATATTTTTTCTTACATACATATATAAATCCCGCTTGTTTTAATTGCTAAATTTAATTTTTAAAATTAAAATCTGTGATTCCAGCATAATATATAAATACGACAGCATTATGATAAACATAGACAGTGCTGTTCGATAAAAGTGACTCACCTGATTTTTTTTTACTAAATGTTCTCTTCTCCGATGAAACGAAAGTGGAGCATGTTGCTCAACTGCTGTCTCGAGAGCCTGTACTTTATAATTCTCCATAAGTTTTTTTTATGGTTTGAGGTCAGGAGATTGGGGCGGCCATGTCATAACACTCACCTGCTTCTCATCAAAGTATTACTTCATCAATTTTGATTTGTGACAGGGCGCATTATCCTGCATAAAAATGAGCTTGAGACAAGACTTTAAAATCCCCTTGTACTGCTCACTCCTGAGGGTCTTTTCAATAGGTTTTAAGAAACCAGTTCCATGAAAAGAAAAGCATCCCCAGAACATTATACTGAATGGATGCTTGACAGTACTTACTGCTAAATTCAAAGAGCTTTCAAAGCTTCTTCTTCGGATTTTAGATCGCTTATCCTTTGAATTTAGCTCAACTTTCGTCTCATCGGAGAAGAGAACATTTAGTAAAAAAAATCAGGTCAGTCACTTTTCTCGAACAGCACTGTATATTAAAATTCAACTTATGTAACAGTCAGTCCATACTCGGCACCTGAATATTGCTTTGTGCATGAAACTCCGATTCTTGCTAGCGGTCAGGGATTATATATATATATATATATATATATATATATATATGTGTGTGTGTGTGTGAAAAATATATAGAAAATAGGAAAGAACTCGTTAGGTAAATAATCCAAAGTTCTTTAGTATTTTTGTTATTATTTTTAAAAAATAGTGCTCGATACAAAAATAGAGCATAAATATAATTATTTATTTAAAAATATGATAAAAATATGGAATCAATTTGAAATTTTTTTGGAATCAAATTGAAATTTTTGGGGGAATCAATTGATTCCAAATAAAAGTTCGCTTGAAGATGGAACAGAGCTTAGTTTAATTCAATTTAATTCAAATAATTATATTGAAGTTTTCGGCTCTTGTTTTGAAACATGAGAACTCTTATGTAGCGTTTTGGAATCATATTTTTAAATAAATAATTATATATATATATATATATATACCCACAATGCACCACTGACCCGCATATATAAATAGCCGAGAAAAAAACAGCACTCGTGGTCTGACGATTGCGTCAAGCATGAAACAGACTGTCGCCTCTAAGTGTTGACTTCAATGTTCACTTTTATATTTACACACGCTCTATCTCTGATATTGAGTACTTTGTCCCATAAATATAGAACACCTTAAGACAATATGTCTTCACACACACACACACACACACACACACATATATATATATATATATATATATATATATATATATATATATATTCTGCATGCTGAATTTTTATTATAGCTTCAATGCCAATATCCACACTGCTTTCATTTCAGTTCCTAGTCCAGGCTTCTTTTTGCAAAGATTTATCTTGAGTCACCTTTCTTTTAATACACGGAATAGGATTTTGATATTTGTTCCCGATCATTCTTATCCAATCTGTGAATACGTGAATACCTATTTCATCAGCATAACACCCACTTATTTTCATTACATTGGCATCATGAGGGGAAACTTAACGCTGTTTCTATTTCCTAAACATGAAAACAGACATAATAACACTATCACCTCATAGACTGAATGAAGGGTTCGTTTCGAAATTCCAAGATGATTACTATATACAAAGTAGACACTGGAGTAAGATCGAAGCGTATAACGCCTAAAGAGGTGAGAGTATAGCAACCAAAAGATGTATGCTCGTCTGATTATTCCTCAAATTCTTCTCAAATATTCCGACTATTTTTTTCAAATATCTCTGTTCCATTTTTATAAAAGACGACAAATGAATGTATTTTATTGTTTATCTAAAACAAGAAACATTTAGATTAATATCCTTAGCCGACCACTTTTTATCCAATCCTGCAGGTTCTGGAAAAATAAGTTTCCCATTTATTACTGATACAGGATTGTCTGTAACAAAATTTAAAAAAAGAAATCGTTTCTGCAAGTATCTATTATTCTATCTATACAGTTCCTCTCTAGAACTTTATTCACTCGGACGTAGAATAGAGCATGAAGAAGAGTAAGGATAAAGGGCGAAATTGCCTCTTATTGCGAATTATTGAATAAAAGATTAACTTGCCCGATTTTAAATCGTTTGGATCGAACATGAGGAACAAGGTTTTCTTATTTAAAACCATTTGCTCTTCTTCACCAACCCACTTATATCGTCCTCCATCAAAGGCTTAATGTGTTGGGTCACGAAAGGCAGAAACAAGTGAATAACCATTGAACATAAAATCCTTCAACACATTCCTTTTGTCCACTGTGTCTTATTGGTCAGTGATTACGTAGCTTTGACAAGGTAATCTGGGAAAGTCTTCAAGACACGTGACTAGATTATGTACATTGATCTCATTCAAAATCTTGTATTATAGCTTATTAGAGATTTGTCTTTTAATAATACTAACATAGCCCTCTTTGACCATCTCACCTTATGGAATATATCATAGCTGTAATGATCAGCAAACTAGGTTCAAATTCCATCTGAGCTGTAGGAAACCAAAAATCTCCTTTTTCCTTCTTGTTGCTATATCCCAATAAATACTGATAAATGCATTTTCATTATATCACAGTGTTCCGCAACTTTTGGGGCTTTTTTTTTTATTTATAAGAATAACTGGCCTACGGCTATATTACACTGAAAGACCGGCTCCCGTACGATCACTAGAGTTAGGAAACATCGAGCCTGGTCAGTACATAGATGGGTGACCATTTGGGAATACCAGATGATGTAAGTTCGGATGTGCGGGTGGTGTAATGGATAATGGCTCGGAATTGTTAATCGGAGGACCGAGTTCCAATTCCAATTTGGTTTGTTATATTCACTTACGCTCACATACTGTTTCGAAAGGTATGACTCCACTTCTTTCCCACAACTATGAAAACGAATTAATCCATCAATGTAGAATAAGTAAAACACAAGAAATTTGAAAATAGGACAATAGTAAAGACTGTCGAAAATAGGACAATAGTAAAGACTGTCGAAAATAGGACAATAGTAAAGACTGTCGAAATAGGCATTTACTTTTACGACATTACACTGTATATTTAAGCTCTAGAGTTTTCATTTAAAGGGCTTTATGAAGAATCTGCTTTTCTTTTTTTCTCAGAGAGGCTGATAAGGACTGATTTAAATTCCTTCAGGAAGGCAAAAGGTAAAGGATTATCCACTCTTTAAAGATTAATGAATTTAGCATCCACTTTAAAAATAAAGACTTAACTTAGATATCGAAGTCAGATGCTTGTTGTCTATAGATTTTCAAAAATAAATTTGTTTTAAATATAAAAATAATTCATAAATTACACTTCTGTCAACTTGAAGCGCACCTGGCAACAGTTTAGGGCGCATTTGTGCGCATGTGCAAACCGGTTGAGAAACGCTGGGAGACAGAATAAGGCAAAAATACGTCACTAACCCATAAGGAAATAAGGTTCTGTTCAAATGATGTATCCGAGTTTCAGTAGACCGACTACTAAACTACCTCTGTCTACTGAGATGTACAGAAAATTACTTGTATCAGGGTACTTATGAAGCGAACCCTTGGGGTAGGGCTAAGTGTGATGATCTGACGCAAGATTATTATTTGAATTTATTTTGATGTACATGTGAATAACGTGTTGCAATTTGCATTATATCCATGCAAAATAAGTACCAACTTTGTCTTTATATTCTTTGCCGTGCGGATCTGCCATACAAGATGTGAAAAAACAAGTCGATAACTTATAGATCTAAGGGTGGCCGAAGAAAAAAATCGAATGAAATAATGTCCGTGTCTCTTCAGGGTGTGCAGGCTCCCTGTCATTTGTAGCTGTTAGTCATTTTTTTCTTTTCATTATCTCTCTTATATCCTGTTTTTCCAACCATTTACACAAGTTCGTTATATAGGTTGTGCGCTCTTTTCCTTTGTCTCCCTGGCCTTCAATAAACTCTGTGAATATCAAATTTTCTAAGCCATCTTTCTTTATTACTTACCCTAGAAATGTCAAATCTTTCTGATGTTAATTATAGGTATCTTTTTTGTCCCCATTTTCTCTAAAACTTCGTCTTTGGCTTGTTCAGTTCATGGCTCTGTAGAACTACATTCCTTTTCCTTTAAGCCTATTCTCCAACTGCATTCATTGTCATAGAGGATGGCTGATATATATACATTTTGTAGTAGTAATCTTTTTGTACTTCTAACCCAATTAAATTGAAAACAGATAAAGATGCATGTTATAAATTTAGATATTTTTCTAGAAAGTTTAAGCAAATGATACATGAACTTTCACTAAGCTCGGAGATGATTATATGTGGGTACTTAATTGTCTCAAGCATTAACAATGAGATTTATAATCTTTTCGAGTATTCAATACTGAAACCGCAGGCGCTCACGTTGTCAAATAATTTTTCTCTCTCAGAGTCATTGTATACAAAATTATTGAATTTCATTCAAAAAGCAATCTTTGCATTATTAAAAAATAATAATGAAGTTTATAATTTAATATTTAATCCATTCAATTGCATATTGTCTCTAGCGGCTAAAACAAAATTGCTTTATACAATTCATTTTTTAAACTATTATACACCGTAACTCCGTCTGATTCCCAATATACATTTTAATTAAAAAAATAATGTTAAAATAATGGTATTTACAATTATGATATTAAGCGGTCCATATATATATATGTGTGTGTGTGTGTGTGTATAATATATATATATATATATATATATATATATATATATATATATTAAAAAGAAGAGAAGAGAGGTGCCGCAAACGTTTTTGGTTGTAATGTGGATTTATTTAGAAGAAAATATTATGCTTTGTTTTAAAAACAAAGCATAATATTTTTCATACATTTTACATACTTTTCTCTCGTTGGAACCACTACAACATATTTCTATATATATATATATATATATATATATTAATTCCTTCTTCCTTCAAGATGTAGGTAATTATCGTTTTTCCAAGACAAAGTTTTCTTTATTATCATTAAATTCCCATAATTTATTGAGAACGTGGAATGGTATCGTTTCTCGTAACATTTTCCACGTTTGTTTTTCTCGTTCTTAGACAGACATCTTTGCAAATGTAGATTTATTGGTTGATTGTTGTGTTGTCGGCTTTCGCATGTTATTTAATGCCAGAAATTTTTTTAGACTGTAAGAATTTTTTGGCGATAATAATGATTTAGGGATACCAGCCTCTCCCATTTTCACTTCCGAGCCGTCAACCATTACACCGTGCGCAAATCCAAGCTTACAACATCAGGTATTCTCACACATTCATTCTTCCAGCTACTTATTAAATAAGAATCTTAAATCAAAATATCTTGCAGTCCATCTGGAAAGATTCCCACACAGGCTAAATTTACTAGGAATATTCACATTATATGTCAGGTTTGATACGAGATATAACAGTGAAAATATATGGAAATATTATTTTTTTTATTATTAATAAAAACACAGAGAGAAATATAATTTAGACCGATATTATTATATTATATTATATTAAGTTGGTAGATGAATATTGAATATTGCTGTCATATCAGGTCTGATACTTATGCTACGTATTTAGAGATTCTTGATGAAATCCAAAGAAGAATATGCAATAGTCTTGGTCTTCACCTGGCACTTCGGTTTCAGTCACATTCCCACCACCGTAACGTAGCTTCTCTGTGTTTTTCTGTGAATATTTCCATGGTAATTTTTTCTGATGAGCTTTGGTACCGAAACATTATGAATTTCAGCGTACTACAAGAGAGGCGACCAGCTCCCGTCATTTTGAATTGGTGAGAAGTTCTATGCTAACAGTAAATTCTCTTGGCACTCCTCGCTTTAGAAAATCTCTTTCAGCTTCTTCTTTTGCATCTTTCTTTGATCTTCATAAATGACAATCTTTATCGCCGGTCTTCTTAATTCCTCTACTTTTATAGTTCTCTCTCCTTAATGGTGTGTTTGTTTCCATATTCATCCCACATTCAGTAATGTCTTGCGTCTTAGTGGCTTTATTGTTCAGGGTGAAATGATTAAAAAAAGATGAGGAGATTTGTACTGACAGCGATGTGGTTATATGGATGGATGCGGAGAACACTATGTAGAGACTAAGCGTACAACGCATCTTAAGAAAAATATTAACTACAAGAAACTAATAAAAGACGACTAAAATATCTGTGACATAGCATGAGGAAAGAAGCCCTAGATAATCTGAAAGTCATTGGCCATATTGACGGAAATAAAAGCAAGTAAATAATCTACAAAACCCTATCTATAAAGGGCAGGATGTGTGTGTGTAACGAATGCACGGCCGCAATCTTCGACGGACTTGCACCAAAATTTACGTGCACATGCTCTAAGTTAGCGGAAAGGCCAAGACCGACTTTGCATTTCCTAACTCCCATCTATAGTGGAAATAATCGATTTTTTTATGTTTCTACGGCAGTTTTCATGTAATTTGCGGCCATTTTGTACTGGCCAGAGTGAGAGCCTATAGCTGGCTGCCATGAATAGGCAGCAAGATTCTATTGGTCAGCGTGAGAGCCAACAGCTTACTGACACGAATGTTAACTAGCGTGCAAAAAACAATCGATAGATGCATTCGTCACAAGTGGGAAAAATCTAATTCTGCATGACACTTTACTCTAATTGGCTCATTCGCTTGCTTAAACTCAACGTTGATTCTGATTCCGCAGAACTCGGTTGGTTGTGAAAATTTTTTGTTGTTAACATTCTTTTTTCATTTGGTTTTTCCAGTTATGAGTCCTTTTTTAAAGCTGATCGTTTTGTGTTCATTTTGTTTAGTTCTTTTTTCGTAACAGATTTAATGTTTAGTATAGAGCTTAGAAAAAATTCGCATGTAAGATAGGCAAGAAGTAAAGCATGTAGCAGCATCAGCACGGCAAAGGGCACTCCTTTAAAGGCAAGAGAAGGCAAAAATATTTTAAGTCAAGTGATAGCGATTGCTGTATGAGTCGTACGATTTTTGAATCAAGCACGGGTAACGCCGGGCCATTCTGCTAGTGAGTTAATATGATTAAATGCTAGATAAGTCGGATAGACACCAATCAAAAGTAAATCAAAAATATAATTTACGTAATAAATAAATTTATAAATATGTTATTTATTTGTAATTTAGGAATTTGAGAAAGAATATCATAAGGAATATATCATCCTAAGTAACTTTTCCTTGATTACAAATTGAAGATACCAAAATCAAAGAAGTTCAGCAGTTTAAATATCTGGAATGGTTTTAACAGATGACGGAAAGTGTGACGCCGAAGTAACATTGGGATATACAAAGACTCATTCCAAAAGCTAAGCAAAGTATTAAGAAAACAGTAAAATGTCGTTAGAAAGAAAGAAAAGAGTACTGAACTGTTACGTAATATCAGTAGATATTGTAAAGAAGAAATAATTCAACTCCCACAAGGCCGCATAAATGCTTTTGAACTCTCCAAGGCACGAAATCAGGATTGGGCAGCTCCAGCCCTGATATGGCAACTATACTTTTTTCGCATGTAGAAGCAAACTTCAAATAGCTATATAACAGAGCAGTCAACATAAAAACAAAGCTTTGTGAAAATGCAGTTATGTTGTTAAATAATAGTTTAGCAAACTGTTATTTTTTATAGAGAAGTGTATCTCTCCTCGGACTTTATTGGGTTGACCTTTGAGGTTAAATACATGACAAAATAAAGGAAATGCGTTTTGATTGGCTGAACGAGCGTGAGAATGATAGAGATATAGAAAAGG